GACTTCGATGTATAAGTCAAATTCTTAGAAACTTTTGAACTCAGTCATTTTGATTCATTAACAATCTTTTGTTGTAAGATGTAGAAACCACAGCATACTTGAATGTGCATTTCGTACTTGAATGTGCATTTGCATACTCATTTACCCGCTTTCTATGATTGATTTGTCACAGAATAAGTTTTCCTCAATAAACAAAGGAAGGCCATGGTCTACCATGGTCAAATTAAACAGAACTGTAAAATCCTTCCTTTCGCTTGCGGGAAATAGGAATTTAGCAGTTAACATTTCAAGCTTTATGGAGCTCTTCTCGAGGAAGCCCGACTTCCACCCAAGTCCATCAGTTCTAAATCTCATATTTTGCGATATTGAGAGTCCCCTACCTGCAAATGTGCTTTACTTCGAGGACATGTCCACTTGTGATTTACGAAGTAACAGGTTTTACGGGGCCATACCATCTTTTATGGAGGACTTTTCGTATTTAACCTACTTTGACGTCTCCTCAAATAACTTGTCGGGTAGCCTTCCGGCAGGTATTCGGAATTTAATCACTCTCCAGTATTTGGATATTTCTGGAAATCCCTCCATGCGAGAAGGAAACAGCGTATCGATCACTGCCTTTCGTCCTGACTTTTTAAGGATGGTCAGACCACTTGAAGGCGACAATTTTTCATGTCCCGAAGGACACCTAACGTTTAACAATGGTCGCATTCGCTTGGATCCTACATTTTACAAGTACAGATATTGCATTTGTGATCCAAATTTTTACGGAGACAACGGACTATGCAAATCTTGTATGGATGGTGGAACGTGTGACCAAGTCACTGCTACAGTCCAAGGGGACCTTCGTCCAAACGTTATGAAGATAGCTCCTGGCTATTGGCCATCCCCTGATCCTAGGAATGTTACACATCTCGTCAAGTGCCCAGTACCTGCTGCGTGCAATCCAATGGCTTCCTGCACCTGTCGGCTTAACACATCCCTTAGCGACGACTCGTACTCCTCCAATAACAAACGTTTAGTGTCAACTCTGATCACAAAATGNGTTCCGAGTTTAATTTACGCAGATGGTTCATTCAGGCAAGCAGTTTACTGTCCCAACCGAAAACTTATCGTCACGTAAGATCTCCCCCTCGGCGTTGCACGTGAATGCCGCCTTGGGTTCAAATTATGGATTATTGCCGTCCATGTTTCCGCTCTTCGAGTGCACAAACCTTAGCCTTTAATTGAGCTATACTGAAATGCTGTTATACACCTTATTCTTTTTTGCTTTAAGGAAGCGTGTAGTAAGCTTTTTTGAAGGCGTGGCTTGTATCAACACTGAAAGGGCGATCTGAAAGGATAAGAACCGAGTAAACGCATCTTTTAACTTCTGGCAAAATAGAATTGGGTGAGCCAGAGTATTTCAGTGGAAAAGTTCGACATAATCTGTACTTTGGATCGCTGTCTCTCAAAGCTGTAAAGCCAAATAACAAAAGAAGATAATTGCAAACAATCAGATCCTTTACTCTCATTTTATGGACAATAAATAGGTGAAACTTTCTTCTTCGGTCGCAAATTATTGCACCATAAAATTACTCTTGCCTAAATCCGTTCAGCCACACATTTTCTTGTTTCTGAAGAGCGTTTAACGCTCCATGATCTTAGTGGAGAATGTTTGCCGTTGAGATAATTTTTTTTCAACGTTTCCAGGGACTGCCCAGAAAAAAAGAAACTGGTTCGATGAGGCATTCCCTCGTCCTCTGCTTTGTTGGCTGAAGCTGATGCGTTCGTCTTTGTGCATTAACAAAAGAGAGTGATTTTTTTTTTCGGTAGCCGTCATCAATTGTTAGTAAAACGCTTCTGCAAGAATTCATTACCTAAAATAGCTAGCTAACCATACCACAAGAATACAAAACAATTCTTTCATTGTTATGACTCACGTTTAACTCAGCATTTATTTGAAAGACATGTCTAGACGATTGTTCGTTAGTGAAAATGTTATACTACGCGTTTGTATTTAAAAATTCAGTTGTATTGAAATTGTTTCGGTAACGTGAAAGTTATCGTTTACGGCACACGAGGGATTATTATATTCCGAGGAGAAGTGTTACATTGCGAAATTAGTGGAAGGGGGTATTGGTTATCGCATTCAAGGCCAAGCTCGTATCTCTATCCAAATTCTCCGAAGTGTTCTATTCTCAGTTCGTTTCGACAAGCGAACCTCTGAAGGTCTGGCATGGTAATAAAACATTTCCTCTATCTCATTAGAATGATCTAAGGTAATCTTGCCCAAATAATCCTGTATCTTTCATTCAGGGAACACTGACAGGTTCTGTTCTCGTTGTGAGAAAGGATTTTATAAAACTGCCGGATTGTGTTACCCCTGTGTGAAGGGAAATCTCACCTACTACTTCGCGTTTATTCTTATCTTTAGCATTCCTTTCCTTGTTCTGCTTTGGTCACTTTTTAATGCTAGATATGGAATGAGATGCCACTTGTTGGTAAATTTGACCTTGTTAAGAAAGAATCGTCTGTTGTTTGAGAGGAAGTTTCTAGGGCGATTTGGTATTGATTTGGGTTTTTTATCATTTTGATAGACTTAAACATTTCGTTGTTTTCCTACGAACCGTTCACTGAATCCTGGGTCACCGACACGATCCAATAACAGGAAACATTCCACTTGCGACCTATAAAATGGTTTGTGATAGCAGCGGTACATTTCATCTTGATGTTAATCTTCATGTTGTTGGAATTTTTGCCTACTTGTGGGTTTTCAAATTGAATTTGATGATTTTTGTGTTGTGAATGACTAGTCGAGGAAAAGGCACAAAGTCTCTCATTAGCATCGCAGTCTTTTATATTCAAACCCTGGACTTCATGGTGTCGAGTTCCAACGTTTGGCCTCCAAAAATCATTGCAGCTCAGAGTTACTTGAGATTTACCTTCCCTTTTCAATCGTGTTGGCAAGTTTGCGTTTATTCTTCTTCTTCCAATCGGTTGCTTGGTACTTGTGGGTGTCTACTTTATCATTATGCTGAGCCAGAACAAGGTTCGTCCCGAGGAAGGACGCATGGGAAACGTTCACTTTAAATACCCCAAAAGTGCCTTTTTCTGTTTAAGTTTTACTTTTCAGTTGAAAGCAGACCCTCTCCACTTTACACCCATGTCGAAATGACCGTAATATTCTATACTTGCCAACTTCTCCTTGGATAGAATACACCTCTGTTACTTACAGAACATTGTCAGCGCTTGGTTTTGTCTCCGTAGTTGTCTATGTGATTGGGTTCCCTTTGCTTCTCGCCTAACTCATGTTTTTCTTCTTTCGCAAAAGAAACAGTATGAACCCTGAAGAAGTTCAGAAACTTGACACGTGGCTTGGTCCTGCTTATTTTCCTTACAAA